AATGGAGCTGCTCTAGATATTGGGACATGTGGGCGTGATTACCGACAGAGCCCAGGAGATATTCGATTAAGGCAATGGTATGTCAGAATATAAATAACAGTAATTAATGCCCGTGACACAGTGGCAGGGGCTTGCTGACAGGTCAATGTACATTGCAGAGGAGATGAGGATTAAGAACAGAGATGAGCTATGTAAATAATAGCAATTAAGCAATATGGCTTGGCTGCATAGTATTTTGGCCTTTGGAAATAAATGTGTATTTAGACAATGGGTATTGTAAAACAATAACTATGGCTCTTTCAACCTCAGTATCATGCTGAAAGTATTGGAATAGCAATGTGGACAGTAGCAGTGTATCGAATAAGGCCAATCCGACTGCCCGAAACGGGCTAGATTTTTGACGGACGGCCTAAATTTACAGCTAGGCAGCCCGATGGTCTGGTAAAAACTTTCCATACATCTGAGTGAATTCACCATATTTGGTCTGGTTAAATCCATTTAGGGCTGGTAACATTTTGAAGTTACCAGCCCTGATGTCTGCCTGGTTTTTGGCTTATTTCATACACTGACGTACAGTAGGTTTTCAAGCTGGCTGTTTTTGTTGATACTCTACAAAGCTGACAACATATGTAGGTGGACCTGTGAAGATCCGGGTTAGAATTGGTCTTCAGTAGCCCATGCTTGTTGGAAATGGCGACTAATGGGATCGGGTGGTCAGGCTCAATGACTTGGTTGACACATGTCATCGAATCCCAATTGCATAGATCGATGCTTATGCTGTTGATCATTGGATTGTCTGGTCCTGACTCGATTATTTATGACCACTGTCAATATTGCTGAGTGTGGCATTAAACAACAAACAAACAAACAAACAAACAAACATGTAGGTGAGCTACAGTCAACATGAATTTCCTATGCAATTACCTCGAAAGCCCAATGTGTCCATAAACATTTGCAGAACTATTACAAATAGACTATGGTTGCAATGTTGGCAATTTTATGTATATTTGTTGTAATAACTGCTCAATATAGCAAAGCAAACAATAAAAACATATATTTTTTAATTTGTTAACAAGCAAAACACTATAGCAAGAAAAATGACTTTTGACTACATTTGAGGGTTCACCTCCATTTTCTTCTTTTCACTCTCTTTTAGGTGAAACATGACTCTTTTGTAAGAAATGGTGAATAGTAGCCTCTGTTAATTTTTATTCTGACAAAAGATAATCACTCTTTTGACACACAGCGATGTTAAACCTTTTGTCTATAATTCATTAGAAGTAGGGCTGACTATCGATATAGATCACAGAGATCAACAATTGTCAACTAAATATCGATTGATTATCGATCAATACCTTTGAGCAAAAATGAAGAAAAATCAGAAAGAAATCAGCATGTTTCACATCACTCTTGAATGGAGACATATTAAGGCATGCATGGATTACAAACAAAACACCGTCCTCAACATAATTTAGAAGCAGTGAGTGAGTGAGTTAATATTTAACGTCACATCGGCACAATTTAGAAGCAGACCATGAATAAGACCTAACTTTGTGCATTGTCTGAGCAAATTAAAACTATATTTCATCAAATTAATTCAGGCATGATATTACCGATGACACAATTTTCACATCAATAATCATAATGTATTTTTCCTATCGACAGTATTTCTGATTATGAATCTCTCTAGCCAGCCCTACTCAGAAACAGAACTATTCTGGAAACTGAAATTTCTTAACTGTAATTTTTCTACCTCACCATTGAATTTGGATGAATAATGAAAAAATAAAAATCTTACACATGGATGCCAATAAATAGTTAAGATTTATTCTAATACTTACACAGTACCATCATACGATGCTCCTTTCACTGATTGTTTTAGTTAACGAATAATTTTTTTTATTTATTCAATCCCATAGTTACATATATACAAACATATTATTGTAACAAAGGTGAGTGAGTGAGTATGGTTTAGCGGCCCTGTTAGGAACACTCCAGCAATGTCGTGGAGTGGGATACCAGGAACGAGTCCCACAGACAGTACCCATGGGATAGAACCCGGCGTCGCGAGCCGAAGCCTTAGCCACTAGGCTTCTCTGCCACCACAATAACAAAAGCAATATACAAGTAGTGAGTTAGGTTTTATGCCGCACTCAGCAATATTCCAGCTATATGGCGGCGGGTAATATGCAAGTAAGATAGGTTGACACATACCAGCTTCTAAAGGGTGGTTGAACAGTCAATGATTGAGAAATGGGATGAAAGGAAACCATTTTTTTTCAAAATTTTCCACATCATTGTTTCTTTTAGAAACGTTTTTTTCTGCAAGAAAGATGAATTCTAAGGTTTTCTGATAGTTATTTAATTTGGAAATTGTTTTTTTTTTATATATTACATAAATAGATATGTCTCTTTGCAGAGAAAATTATATGATTTAGTATTTTGTTGGCTTGAGAAGTACCAAACTAGTTAATGAATAATTAACCTCTTCAGTGACTATATTTTCAAACATGAAACCCTAAGTAGGCCTCAAAGATCAATATTATACACTTTGTTTTTCAAGACATGTTGGCATGTATGTAAATGATGACAAGGGATCTCTGCTTGTACATCAGTGTATACTATTTTTACACTATTTTTAAATGTAAAACTTGTACTCAGGAAGTACAACTAAATTCCACATCACTTTCACAACCCTTTTACTCTTAGATTTTGTTTTTCTTGCATAGTATAGTTTTGGGGGTTTGGCTTTCTTTGTATATTTCTTGGACTTTTTTTCAACAACAAAAATTTCAAACCATTTTGAAAAAATTTAAGATCTGTTAATGACTTTTGATTATGTCTAGTGAAGATTAAGCTTTAATATCACTTAATTAAAGGGATAGTTTAAATTTTAAAGCAGGATGCCAGAACAGTTTGAATTAGTTTTCTGCCCACTGAGAAGAAGTAATTCTGAACATGTGAATCATAACAGTTTATATATTCATAAAAATCTCTGCTAGAAGAGGAAGCCTTTGTACAATTCTGACTTTATCATTAGCATATCAATTGTCTCCCAGAAGAAGCATATGGTACAAGTCATTATAGAAAATGCATAAGTTATTCACAAGGTTTTATGCTATACAGTAATCCAGTATTCAAACATGTATAGCATGGACGTAGAAAAATTATATATTGCATTCTGAGCGACTCACAATAACGCAGGAACACCTACACCCTTCGAGGGCTTTTTCCTTCAGGGGAAGAGAGAGAGAATAACATTCCAAATACAAAATTCTCCAGCAGATTAATGCGATAATGTAAATATTACATCTTACAGTACTTGACACTATTTCCTTACTTTACAGGACCCTCATATGGACCCTTGAAATTTGTATATGTGGGAGCCCCTGGACCCATAGGTTTTAATGTAAGGTAAAACTGTGCACTAATGCTCGCCATTCCACAACATGAGTGATACAGTGAATTTTATAATCAGATATCAGGGCTCGATTTAGTGCTTTCTTACTTGCACTGGTGCAACCCAATATTACAAAGAGCAACCTGGTTATTAGTCTAACTTGCACCAGGTGCAAGTCAATTTTTGAGTGGCTAAACTTCTGAATAAAACATCTAAATAATTCAATAGCATATTTCTTACATTACATATTGCAATAAAAGCAGTGCAACTGGAATTTGGATGGTGCAACAAGGTTTTTATCTTAGGTTGCACCTGGTGCAAGTAGGTTAACATCTCTTAAATCTAGCCCTGGATATCTGAACATGTTTTATTACCTAATAAAAAACACTACCGTGTTATGAAGAGTATCAGCTGAGCAGGTAGCAATTTCCTTAATTACACCAAGACACTGAACGTTCTTTCCAAAAGAAGTTACCATATTTCCTCAAATAGGTGTGGGTCTCCAATACATGCCTCACATTTACCATGGGTCATTATGCTGTGTAAACAAATTGGAATCGGAGCCTCTGTTTGACAATGGGCCTGTACGTAATGTAATTTGTTGATTATTTAATGACAACTTCCTGCAAATGTACCCCTTTGTATGACTGTAGAACTGTGATTTCTCAATGTATGCATTGTGAGAGGCCACTGTGTCAACAATAAACAGAATAGGACAGGTGTCTCACGGAGGACATATGGTACTTTTGTTCTGTTTGTGTTTGTTTTCTTTGTTTGCTTGCTTGTTGTTGAATGCCTCACTCTTTAATATTCTATCTATATGGCAGCATCATAAATAATCAAGTCTGGGCTTGACTTCAAGTGATCAATCAAGTGATCAACAGCATGAACATTGATCTACACAATTGGGATACGATGACAAATGTCAACCAAGACAGCAAGTCTGACAACCCGGAACCTGTTATAGTCGCCTCTTGCTACAAGCATGGGTTACTGTCACAAGACAAATTCTAACCGGGATTTTTTACTGGTCGTGTGCATGTGTGCATACTTTCATGTGACATTATCAAGGTATATTATCTAACACATTGTGACAATTCTACATGTAGCTAGAATAATTCCTGTTAACTCATTGACTAAACCACCCAAGAACGCCGCAAGATGGTGGTTTGGACACTGAATAAACATCTACTAAGCTAAAAAATCCTGTGTACTAGTATGGGTTAAGCGTCAACATTTTACGATTACTTTATATATAGGCTACCATCAAATAAATCAGTTCAGACACATAGACCTACACATCAACATTTAAGGAATTATTCTTTCGACTCGTAGATTTAAGCACAACAACGTCTGTTCAATTTTGGAAAGTGTTTCCGACAAGGTTCTCACCACAGGAACGATTACACGCTAAACGACGTGTGATATATAAACATTGACACCGCGAGTCTCAACGCACAGGTAGGGCATAAAATAGTGCACAGCCGGTGTTCTCGTGTGACCTAGTTACTCTCGCGGTTGTTACGAATGTGACATTGCGACATTTAGTCAGTATAGTCTCTAATATCGATGTACATCAACAGTTACACTCTCAACTCACCATACATACTAGGGTCTACTGGGGTAAACAGACCAAACAAGCACATCCGCCATTGCAATCGATAGTCATAAATATTCATGTATCTGTCAATATATTCTTCGAGCAGCTCTGGCGAAGAATTGCGTTTCTATAACAACAGCGGAGAAACTTTAAACTCACGTGAATTCACTGTCGGTGATAACGATTTTTTTCAGTCTCATTAGCTGATGGGTTTTCAAAAATACTGTCTGTTTAGCAGGCAAGGTTTTACCTATTTTGAATATCAAAGACACATCCGCTGATGATCCGTCGGATAGTGGTTAAAGGGAGGTAACACGCTTGAGAAGTGCCCAATCGATACATTTCCCCAACCGGGAGAATATTGGCATGGATTCTACCAGCGTGATTTCCAAAGTAAAGTTATTTCGAGACATGAAACAAACTTAAATTTAAAAGCATATGTGAAGAGTGAAAGGAGCGTATTACTGTTTTCAACGTGCTGCTCAAAATTAATTGCCAGAGTTTTTAAAGTCTTTATGTCCGTAAGTCGGGAGAGTGAGACGCGATAAACATGAAAGTTGTGAATCCAACAGCGAGGGAAAAGTTTCCATGTGACTTCGCTTTACTGGACAGACTGATCAAGATAGCAGAGAAAAGTGTGCATCACGCAGCCCGAGTGAAAATCTCGTGGTGTTACCGTCTCATGGAGTGAGTGAGTGAATACACTACCTCATCACAGTGAGTGAGTGAGTGAGTTGGGTTTTATGCCGCTTTTAGCAATATTCCAGCAATATCACGTCGGGGGACACCAGAAATGGGCTTCACATATTGTACCCATGTGGGGAATCGAACCCGGACCTTTGCCGTGACGAGTGAACGCTTTAACCACTGGGCATCCCCACCGCCCGTCATCAGATTGAGTGAGTACAATTCTCCATCAGAGTGAGTGATCACTATTCTCCATCAGAGTGATGGAGTGAGTGGTTGAGTGAGTGATCACTATTCTCCATCAGAGTGATGGAATGAGTGGTTGAGTGAGTCAGTATAATTCTCCATCAGAGTGATCGCGTGAGTGAGTGGGTGAGCGAGTGAGTAGAATACACTAGACGCCAAAAGAAACGTTACCCTCCTACATTTATGAATTACTGAAAAACTATAAAAGATATTTTAGAAGGTTTTAGTTTACAAGAAAGCTTAACAACACAGATTTCAGTCTTTTCAAACATTTTCTGCTGATTTGCATTAGTGAGAACAAGTAAAACGTTTCTTTGATATTGTGAAAAAATGTTTAGGAACTTCTACAATTATCTTTAGCATTTTTGCTTGCAAAGTAACATTTTTCCATTTCCATTTTACACATAGCAATAGCAATCCCAAAACGCAGCAATATTCAAACAGTATTTACATCCATTTCACATGCAGAATGATTCTATAGGGTATAAAGAGAGCCTAGAAGACATGATCTGATACACAAGTCCGAGAAATATGCCACGATTAACGGCTGAAGAGAGACAAAGAGCCACTGGGATGGTGCAGATGGGATCGACATACAAATGCTGTTGCCATCCCCCTCGGATGCCACTGTATCACGGATATAAGACTTCTTCAGGGCTTCAGACAGACTGGGATCACCGTAGACAGACCAAGAAGTGGACGTCCACGCATCACAGCTGAAGATAGGTACCTCCTTCATAAAGGAAGGAGGGTAACGTTTCTTTTGGCGTTTAGTGTATGTACCCCATCAGAGTGAGTGAGTGAGTGAGTGGCTGTTCCCTATATGAGTACAAATATATACACCCGTGAAGATCCGGGTTAGACTGACTGACTGACTGAGTTTGGTTTTACGCCGCTTTTAGCAATATTCCAGCAACATCACGGCGGGAGACACCAGAAATGGGCTTCACACATTGTGCCCATGTGGGGATTCGAACCCGGGTCTTCGGCGTGACGAGCCAACGCTTTAACCATTAGGCTACCCCACCGCCCCTCCGGGTTAGAACTGACCTTCACCAACCCATGCTTTTCGTAAGCGGCCACTATAACGGGTGGTTAGATTCGCTGACACATCGCATCCCAACTGCGTAGATCTATGCTCATGCTGTTGATCACTGGGTTGGCCGGTCCAGCTTCGATGATTTACAGACCACCGCCATATAGCTGAAATATTACTGAGTGCGGCCTTAAACAACAAACAAACAAAGAAGAAGTTGGCATCCATTAATTCTTGCCTGTATGTGCATCACTTCTTCATATACCTGGGGAGGTGGGGTAGCCTAGTGGTTAAAGCGTTAAGGCCCGGATTCGATTCCCCACATTGGTACAATGTGTGAAGCCCATTTCTGGTGTCCCCCGCCGTGATATTGCCTGAATATTGCTAAAAGCGGCCTAAAACTAAACTAACTCACTCACCCACTCTTAATATACCTACACCGATACACTTCTACACATACAAAATATAAATCCACACATGTAATTAATATCCAGTGTATAATCTGAACAATTAAAAAAACTTATATACATAAATTTAGCAATATAACGGATAGTTCGTTTTGGCTTGACAAGCCCCTGTCATCTTGAAAGCGTTTCACGTGTATTACCGAGGCGTATGAATTGAGTCATCAACATGACGTGCTGACCTGACCATCATGGTCGTCTTGCACATTCATTCCTAGACAACACAATATGAGACCATAGAGGGGGTGTGCACCTAAATCATTAAAGTACAAAGGTTAGGGACCGTTCATAATTTATGGCTAGGGGATGTGTGTGTGTGTGTGTGTATGTACAAAGAAAGTGACCTCCCCCTGCATGTCATGTACAAAGTCGATGACCCCACCTCCCCTTTCCATATTTTAAAAATATTTTTATGTACAAAATTGCTGACCCCCTACCTCCCCAGAACAAAATGGGTGACTCCTTAAAATCACACACACACCCCCCCATATAATTATGAACGGTCCCTTAGGGGGGAATGCTCCTCTGAGAAATAAATTTCGAGGAACAAGGGGTGGTGTGTGTGTGTGTGGGGGGGGGGTCGCACCCCTATACACCCCCCTCTAGATCCGCCCCTGCAATGTATCTAGTCTAACGTTAGGCCGACGCTGTGACAAGGCACTAAAAGCCTGATAGTGTCGAAAATATCTTTTAAAACGTTGCTACATAACTTTTGTGTTACATATTTTCAACCAAGGTGAAAATATGTAATTTCTGAACCCCATAAGTTGGGGAGAATTTGATAGAAAAGGGTCGTCTCAAAAGTATTGTTTTCAGTATTACTGCTTGTGTCTTGCACAATGAATACTTGCCGCGACTGACACAAACATCATTATTGACTGTGATGTAAAAAATGTAAGGATGATACGACGAGTTACCTACCAAAGAACATGTCAATTACTTTGTTGAACAGCCGTTAATGTTTTCCATTCTCATGTTTTTGTACATTTGTACGTAATTATGATATGTTTATATGTATTTATTTGATACAAATGTATTATGCTCACTCAGATGTAAGACACATTCCCTCACGGGCAATAAAAAATTATCTTAACCTCTCTAACAAAAACAAAAAATGTAATGCAGTTCCAGTACCAATCTCTCCCAGGTCTTCTATAATATATTATCAGTCCCTTTTCCATGTTGTTCTTACTTGTCGTACCCACATCAATTGGGTTACAACCCCCTATGATTAAGTAAGGCAACCATACAGTTTATACTCATAAACACTAACCTAGAAGGTAGGGCGGAGAAAGAGTCTTTTATATATTTAAATTCTCTTGGTAATGTCAGCTTCGTTGGCACTACTTTTCATTTGTTCGTTCGTTCTTTCATTCTATCATCCACATGCTCACATGGAATAACTCTGGGTTCTGACTCCGAATAAATAACTGCGACTTGATAAATATTCCACATCATCCAAAGGCGTTATGCATGTTTGTCATCAACTTGATTATGTTCGATAACTTTCAAACTGTTTATAAACCACCTGTAACGTACGTCACTTGCATTAGCAAAAGCTAATTAATTAAAATGCAAAACAGAATGTTTAAGAGTTGTATTGAATGATACCTAGTCTAAATGTATTTTACAGAAAAAGGTTCCTAAATTTGATTTATAACATAATGAAAGGGAGCCGAGAGATTTTCTTCATGTTCGAAACTTGTGAATCTAGACTCGATTCTAGAAGTGCATCAGCTGTATCGGCATTTTCCAGGGTCACACCCTGGGGGTGAAGTATTGTGGAATTATTGTCCTCCTGAGAGGGTACGTAAGTCCCAACACATTTAAAGTAAATTTAAATTTGCCACTCTTTAATCGTAGAATATGTGTACTTTTAATTTATGGCTAGATTTTGTCTCTCAATCACCAATGGCTTGAAGGGATGGTGTAAATCCAGCTCACCACCATGCAGGTAGCAACTGACATCCCCATGTCCCGATGGTGACGTATCTATAGTTCCTGACTTTGTACTGACTGAGTGATTTAATTTTACGCCTAGTTTTAGCAATTATTCCAGCAATATCATACTCTTAGTATTTTTTACACCAGACATTCTAACCTTTTTATTGGTTTCATATTGATATAAACCCATGTTGCCCACGATGGGCTTCGAAATATGCCGAGCCAAATAATTCACTCACTCACCTTTCCAGGGTCGCCATGTCGACTAGTGCTGCGTTTGTTTACCTGTAAGTGATACATAACCACTAAACTAAACAGTACAGACTTGAAATGTTGCCAATAAATTTTATTATGGGTAGTTAGGAGAATAAGAAATTGTCGTTTATCGTTCCTTCTGGAAAGTGAGTGAGTGATCGAGTTGGTTTTACGCCGCTTTTAGCAATATTTAAATACATGTATTCCAGCAGTATCACGGCGGGGGACACCATAAATGGGCCCTTCTGGAAAGCTAAGCGTTAGTAATTCGCAAACTACTCACTGACATTGGAAGGGAAAAACTGTTTTATGAAAACTGCAGGAAATGTCAACCCTGCAAAGAAACTTCACTTACGTAATGTAATCAATTTGTTACGACATGAACAATGACGACATATATT